ATTTATATTTTGTATACATTATTATATTATAATATTTCGTAGTGCATAATATTATTGATCAAATTATAATATAATTATTAATTATGTATTTTTAGTTCATGTATTAAAAATATTTTTAAGATTTACCAACAACTTGGATAATTTAAAAAAAGTGGCATACACGAGTTGAAAAAGAATCGGAAAATGAAGAGGTTCAATTGATGACTGGACGTAAACGTACAACAATTGATGTATCAGACAATAGCAGTGATGAAGGTAATTAATAACTTCAATCTATCCTAATTTTTAGGGTTCAACATTCCAATCAATTTTTTCGGATCAAATGAGTAAGCAATCATCTTCAGTGTATCAACTACCATACATTCAAACAAGTTCAAGTTATCAACCATCTCAAGATGAACAAGTCATTTTTAAATTTTTATAATTTAAGAGAACACCCTTAATTTAATACACTGAAGTTAAATATTTATAATTCATTTTACACATTTCATACAAATGGTCTATCAAACAATTAAAACATGTTGCCATTATTTAAATATCAATATATTATACTTAAATTTATACAGATACAAGTGCACAGAATACACCACAGCAATTATGTCATAATTCACTCCAAACACCAACACTTCTAATATTATTAACTATAATCAAGTATCATCCGGTTTCCCAGTACTTGCCAAGTACACCAACAATTAAAATATTTGCAAGTAATTTGTGTAAAAATTGTTCCAACTACTGGTATATTTGTTAAGTACCTATATACGATATACCTTAAGTTATTAGTATGTATGGCAGATTGATGCATTGAATACCTATAATACGGTTCTGTTTATTTGTATTTACTTCTATGAAACCGGCCCACTTGAATTCCCTTATTTAAGCCCTATAATGCAGTGCATGACGACACACCAATATAATGTTATGTGTAATAAGTAATTATTTTACACATACTATATGTAAAATAAATACCTGTTACGAAATGTTACTAAATGACCAAACAAGAAAAAGGGGGAAAAACAAATAGTTATCACCAAAATGTCCAAACATCGTAACA